TAATATGTGTGTAACAAAACCAGTGGGGGCGGGTCCCGGCTCAAAAGTGGCCAAAATGACGTGCGCTGACATGCTGCAATACCACCCCGGGCCTGTGGGGGTGGACCCGGAATAAGAATTAGCCAATGGTAACGTATAGCATCTTCTTAACTCTGGAAAACGTCTTTACAGGATGGTCCAAAAGTTGGCTCTTGGCCCAAAGCTCCATTCCACATGTGTGTCAATGCTGAGGGAGTGTTCTGGACCAGTCTAGTTTAGTCGCTGTGAATTTCTGAAGGCACTCGTTTAAATGAATGGAGCTCCCCCCGGTGACGCATGCGCAGATGCGTTTTTTCACAATTTCCCGCGGCCATTTGAAATTGCCCTTAGACCGCGGAAGTTGTGGAACATTGGTTAGAATGGCGTAGATAGGAGTGATGTCCGTTAATATTTACAGTCTATGAACAAAACCTGTGAGTACTAATATCTGAGTTGAGTTTCTATTATTCTCCTTGTGTCTTGGTGGGTTTCCTCCAGGCGGGCGGGTTTCCTCATGCACTCAAAACATGCAACCGTATGAATGATGGTGGTGGTCAGAGGGGGATATGGTGCAGACGGGCTGCATGTATAGCGTCTGTCAACACTGAAGTTATCATTTACATGAAGCATGAGAGACATCTATAAACCTGTAAAGGGAAAGGAATTATTATTATCAATAATTCAATGTTTTAGTTTGGTTTTGTGAGTAAAAAACAGGAACACGTTGCAGAAATAACTGCAAATAACTTGTTTGATTACATTTGGCAAAAGTGCGCTTAAACAGTCATAGCAATCTTATGTACAATTAATATTACAACAATTGGGTAATTGTATTCACAAGTGTGGGCTTGTGATACAATTACCCATATATTTATTTATTCATTTGATAGGGACAAGTTTACACAATCAACATGTGAAACACTACAACATTTATAGCCAAGGATAAATTGCAATGTCCGTCCCTAGGAGGACACTTAACACAATTAAAAACACATTTTACATTATTCACATTAAACAAAAGCAGGTGTCCTCCAACTCATTGATAATAATAATAATTAATAATAATAATAATAATTTCTTATGCTCATTTGCTTTCTAGATTATGCTTCATATAATCTCTAGATACATTCACTTCCTACAGTTCATAAAAGGCCTGCAGCTAAGACTTGATCTAACCAACAGGGCTACTTGATCTTTTGACCTCCACACTCACAATTATAAATCTGAAGTAGGAAATACATTTGGGAACACAAATACAACATAGTTTGGCATAACATAGTGAGTATTTGGCTGGCCTATTTTAAGCGTGCGGTGACTATGCAGTTGGCTGTATTCTGCTTCTTACAGACGACTCATCACAGTTTGAAGCTGTTATTCCACATTTGTGCTCCAAAGACAGACACGGGAGGAGGCGTTCTTGGATGTGTTGTTCGGGTTTTGAGTTGCCGCTTCTTTTGTGCCAAAACAGAGTAAGCTGTCAGCGCCGTCAATCACACGACAGCTCACATTGTATTTTTAGTCAAACCTTAGGTAACCCAAACTGCATCTATGTTAAAGGAGCAGTATGTGAAAATCTGGTCAAAAGTGGTACTGCAGCCTCTCCCACTCTCCCTGACTCATGTTGCCAGATATGCAGACGTATCCAGCTGGGACCATAACAGCTGAATAGACAACAACAAATCTATAACCAACACCTTTTTCACAAAGATAGAAATCCTGGTTTTATTCCTTGTTTTGTCGTTAATGATTTGAGAATCATAACGAGACCTTTTTTAGTTTGATTTATGAGCTGTAAAACTGATTTTGAAATCCGAATTTCTCGGCTAAACTACTGCTATCAGCTTAAGAAGTATTCGGAAAAAGCATGTTTTATTAATGCCTTTTGACATATTAGGGCCCTTTAATGATGACTCGACATGAAAATCTTACATACTGCTACTTTAATTATGAAATAGCCTTTCGATGATGTGGGAATATTTGGCCGTACGATCTTAGAAAAGGCTTCATAACCGGCTGAACCACTTTTGGTTATCAAATGGGAAGAATCACACAATCTATAATAACACCATTTGCTATCGTACACCTTTACATTTGAGCCTATGTGTGGTGCATATTTTTGCGACTCCTCAATCTGTCATGAATGTAATATCCCGGCTGTTCACCTAAACAATGCAACCATTCGATGATGATTTGCTGATTATCTTATATCTTGCACACCGCTGCTCCACTCCAATTGATTTACTGGCGGTCATGGTCAGAAATCTAGGAGTAATAATGGACTCAGACTTGAATTTCAATAGCCACATATCATCTGTGACATCATCAGCTTACTTCCACCTAAGAAACATTGCTAAAATTAAAAACATTGTGTCTAAAGCAGACTTGGAGATTCTTATCCACGCATTTGTCTCCAGTCGATTGGACTACTGCAATGGCTTGTTCACAGGTCTCTCTAAACAAGCGGTAAAACAGCTGCAGTACATCCAAAATGCTGCAGCTCGAGTCCTGACTAGAACCAGGAAGTACGACCACATTAGTCCGGTCCTCAGGTCTCTGCACTGGCTTCCTGTGGCTCAGAGAATAGATTTTAAAGTAGCTTTACTTGTGTACAAGTCTCTCCATGGCCTCGCACCAGGGTACATCCGCGACATGTTGGTGCCATATGAACCAACTCGGGCTCTGAGGAGCACAGGGACTGGACTTCTGTTAGTGCCAAGAGTCGGAACTAGACATGGGGAGGCTGCGTTTCAGATTCATGCAGCTAGAGTCTGGAACCGTCTTCCCGAGAGTGTGAGACAGGCGTCTACTCTGGCAGTTTTTAAAACTGAACTGAAAACAGTTCTTTTTAGCTGTGCATACAAGTGAATGATTTTACATTTGTTTTTATCTTTAATCTTTTTAATGCGCTATGATTATTTATGATTATTTATGATTGTAATCCCTTGTGTGATTTTAATTTTTTACGGTTTTTAACTACTTACTTATTTTATATATCTTGTGCTCTTAATCTGTCTTTTTATGTTTACTTAAATTCTAATGTTTGATGATTTATGCATGATGTTATATGGGTTGTGAGGCGCTTTGCGTTGCCTTGTGTAGGAAAGGCGCTCTATAAATAAACGTTGATTGATTGATTGATTAGCATTTTTACATTGTTGGGAGGCGACTGCCACCGTCCTTTTTCAGGAGACAGAAATAAACATTATCCAGCATGAAAGGGCTGGATGACAAATTTCTGTTTTAATCAATCCCCGGCAGCATTGCAATCATTCCAACATCAGTAGATTAGGCCATGTCTCACTGGGTTTTTGTTTGTGACGCCGAGACTGATAAATGCTTCTGATTATTCCATGGATCCTGTGCATGAATGTATTTTAAAGCATTGATTTATGTTTTGTTGTGTTCAAGTGCATTTGTTTAATGAGCTAGTGTGTAAAGTGCTTGCATAAAAAAAAGGACATTTGGCTTATGTCAGCCCAAAATATATCTGAAAATATTTCACATTTTCATGAAAGGAGTAAACAACATGGAGTAGTGCAGTTCTGTGATTTGGTTTGAATATACAACATGGAGTAACGGCCCCAAACGGTTCTATTCTATTCAGCTGTTATGGTCCCAGCTGGATTCGTCTGCATATCTGGCAACCTGAGTCAGGGAGAGAGGGAGAGGCTGCAGTACCACTTTTGGCCAATTTTTCACATAATGCTCCTTTAAAATATCTGAGAATCGGTATTTACCGAACGACCAGAATACTTAGACATGTTGAGAATGTTTGGGATGCTCTGGTTTGCTGTTAATAAAGATTTCCAACTTGTGCCAATTTTAAGACACTTTGCACACTTGTTATTGAAGAGACGTAGACCAACAGTCAACGATGTGAAGAAGAGAGGCTCATGGGGTCACTTTTCAGACCTCCCTAAAGCTGTCATCATCTTCATCTGCCACGCCTGTTAGTTGGGATGGATTGTCTCAGCAAAGAATAAGTGCTCACTGAAACCTAATTAAACAGATTTTGGATTTTTATCTGATGGTGCTTGGTATAGTGGGCATATATTCAGAGTTTATATTTTAAGGTTGCACCCATGAACAATTTGACCAAAAGTGCTATATAATAATAATATTAAAAGTATTAATATTAATATTAATATTAATATTATTATTATTAATAATAATATAAATATTAATAATAATAATAATAATAATAATAATAATAATAATAATAATAATAATAATAATAATAATAATAATAATAATAAAATAATGATAATAATGCATCGTTTTTATCCAGAGCTATTTTGGACACTCACAGACTCCACAAATGGTGGAGATAAACTACTACCGTAGCCACAGCTGCCCTCAGGCACTCTGACAGAGCCGAGGCAGCCAGTCTGTGCCATCGGCCCCTCCCACCACCAACATGATACTTTATTGCAGTGTTCCAAACCTTTTTGAGTTGAGACACACTTTTTCATGTAAACCATCACATGTCACACCAGCTGAAACTGAAAACATGAAACTTCTGCCTTTGTGGAAGAAGCAAAGTCATTCTTATCAAAGTATTACATAGAACAACAAAACAAGCACAAAAGTCTTTCTAATCGTCTCACATTATTTTATTTTTACATTATGTTGACTAATTGGAGACTGGATCATTTCCAAAGGCATTCAAGATGGCTGCCAGGGTGAAAACACACAGTCAGGCAGGTCCTGTGTGTTTGTCAAAAAAAAAACCTAAAACCATCAAATTCCCTTGGATTGTGCCATCAACATATGTATATGCAATTATTATATGCTGTTACCTTTTCTGGAGTTTGATGGGCCCCCGGAAAATGGATAATTCAACTCTATACCCACCAAAGAGGAGTCAGTACCTCTTGTTTACAAGATTTCTCAATTTTGGACATGCCAGGCCGCCCCCAGGTAAAACTGATCAATCATTTAAATCTAGATCATCCCTGGGGGCTTTGGAACTTGTGTTTATACTACTTTTGGCTGGTGACATTGAAATAAATCCTGGTCCAGGCCTAGATGGACAACAGCAAGCAGGCCCAACAACTGAGCTAATCTGGCTACAACTACAGCTACCCTGGTTCTTACCTCAGTTGCCTGGGCTACAGCTAACCAGGCCTCCACCACCTGGGCTACAGCTATTCGGGCCTCCACCACCTGGGCTACAGCTACCTGGGCCTCCACCACCTGGGCTACAGCTACCTGGGCCTCCACCACCTGGGCTACAGCTACCCGGGCCTCCACCACCTGGGCTACAGCTATTCGGGCCTCCACCACCTGGGCTACAGCTATTCGGGCCTCCACCACCTGGGCTCCAACTACTCGGGCCTCCACCACCTGGGCTACATCTTCCCGGGCCTCCACCACCTGGGCTACATCTTCCCGGGCCTCCACCACCTGGGCTACAGCTATTCGGGCCTCCACCACCTGGGCTACAGCTACCTGGGCCTCCACCACCTGGGCTACAGCTATTCGGGCCTCCACCACCTGGGCTACAGCTATTCGGGCCTCCACCACCTGGGCTCCAACTACTCGGGCCTCCACCACCTGGGCTACATCTTCCCGGGCCTCCACCACCTGGGCTACATCTTCCCGGGCCTCCACCACCTGGGCTGCAGCTACCCGGGCCTCCACCACCTGGGCTGCAGCTACCCGGGCCTCCACCACCTGGGCTGCAGTTACCTGGGCCTCCACTACCTGGGCTGCAGCTACCCGGGCCTCCACCACCTGGGCTGCAGCTACCCGGGCCTCCACCACCTGGGCTGCAGTTACCTGGGCCTCCACTACCTGGGCTACAGCTACCCGGGCCTCCACCACCTGGGCTGCAGCTACCCGGGCCTCCACCACCTGGGCTGCAGCTACCCGGGCCTCCACCACCTGGGCTGCAGCTACCCGGGCCTCCACCACCTGGGCTGCAGTTACCTGGGCCTCCACTACCTGGGCTACAGCTACCCGGGCCTCCACCACCTGGGCTACAGCTAACCGGGCCTCCTCCACCTGGGGTACAGGTGACTGACCCTCCATTACAAAAAAAGGTCAGAAATCCCATTTTCCAAAAACATCGGACTTCTAAGATATTTCACACACTTAATCAGGCAAAGATTATCTGGGATCCGCAAGCCAAACCAAAAGGCTTATTAGGTGGACACCTGAATATACGGAGTATGGCACCTAAACATGAAGAGCTTCAACATCTGCTCTGCAACTCGAACATTGACTTTCTGGGGCTTTCCGAAACCTGGTTAACACCCAACTCTCCAGACTCAGTGGTAACTATGCCGGAGTATAATGTCTACAGGAATGATAGGGAACATGGGAGGGGTGGAGGTGTTCTACTCTATGTTAAAAGCGCTCTAAAATGTAGACGAATAAATTGGCCGCAAGACATCCAGCTTGAGTGTGTTGGTGTAGAACTCTCTCTCTCCCCTGCAATGAATTTCATTATAATTTGTCTATATCGTAAACCATCTGCTAAATTGGACTTCTATGACAAGTTAAAACTTCTTCTTGATCATTTGGATATAAACAAAGAAATCATAATTATTGGAGATTTCAATATAAATTGGAATGATAAGAAAGTTCGAAAAAACCTGAAACAACTCACTGAACATTCTAATTTTAACCAGTTAATAGAACAACCTACTCGAATAACTTCACATTCAAAAACATTGATAGACTTGCTCTTTGTAAATAAACCTGAAAGAATCATCAAAACTTTTAACTTTGTGACTGGGTTGTCTGATCACAATGCTATCTTCTTCTCAAGAAAACTTTCAAAAAAACGTTTTGAAGACTCATATAGGCCAAATGTAAAAGACTCACCGAAAACCATTATTCCCAGAAGATCATTACCAAATCTTGTAGTAGCCTTGCAATGTACCGATTGGAACGAAATTACTCAAAGTGAGGATGTTGAAATTGAAAGTATTGTTAAACTTTACCAAAAAAGAAAGCCATAACAAAAAAAAGAGAAATCTATTACCATGGATAAATGACGAATGTAAGAAACTGATGAGAGACAGAGATAAGCAATTAAAGAAATATATCAAATCCTGCCTCATCACAGATAGGTATACATTTACCTCACTGAGAAATAAGGTTATTCAAAAAATGCGGAAAGCCAAAGCAACATTTTTTATGAATATTCTTTCTGAAGCAAATGGAAATCCCAAGAAGATCTGGCAAAATCTAAATAAATTAGCTGGGAAAGATGATAAAGCAAAACAGCAAGGAATTGAGCTAAAAATAAACAACATTTCTGTGTCGGATCCAGATATACTGACAAATTAATTTAATAACTATTTTGTCAACTCTGTCAGGGAAATAAGTGAGTTATTTGCATCCTCTGATTTGAAAACAAGGTCAATTGATCCCACACAGCCTGTCTTTCGTTTACGTGAAATAACAGGGCTAGAAGTTTCCAAAATTATTGGTTCACTAAAAAATTCAAAAGCCAAAGACATTCATGGTTTGGACACTCATCTTCTAAAATTATGCAAAGAGTCTTTTATTGCACCAATAACACAAATGGTTAATTTGTCACTCAATCAGGGAGTTGTTCCATCCTCCTGGAAACTGGCCACAGTCGCTCCAATTTTTAAATCTGGTGACAGATCGCAAATATCCAATTATCGACCAATTTCTATACTTCCAGTTGTTTCCAAGATTGTTGAAAGATGGGTAGCAAATATTTTAAATGAACATCTGAACAATAGTTCATCTAGCTTGCATCCCATGCAATTTGGTTTTAGAGCAAACCATTCCACTGAATCAGCAAACAGCTTCTTTATAGAAAATGTAAAAAGTAAATTAGATATATATCCCTGTGTTGGTGCAGTGTTCCTTGATCTTAAAAAGGCATTTGACACTGTCAGCCATGAAATTCTGATAGCAAAATTAACAGACTTCAACTTCTCGCCAGAGGCCATTCAATGGATGAAATCATATTTAGCTTCACGAAAACAATGTGTACATATTGGCAGTGTAAAGTCATCAATCCAGGATGTCCCAGTCGGTGTGCCGCAAGGATCAATACTTGGCCCCCTATTATTCTCACTGAACATAAATGAGCTTCCCAAAACATGTACTAATGTGAGTTTTTAAATGTATGCAGATGATGCTGTAATATATACTCATGCAAGGAGCGTTAAGGAAGCAGCTTCCATTCTGACCTCAGCCATGGAACAAGTAAATGACTGGCTATTTAAATCATGCTTGCTTCTAAATTCTAAAAAAACGGTCTGTATGATGTTCTCCAAGCAATCAAAAGTGATGAAAAATTCTGGAGTTTTCTTGAGAGGGGAAGAACTACAACTTGTCACAGAATTCAAGTATCTGGGTCTGACACTCGATTCCACTCTATCTTTTAAAGATCATATAAAAAAACTGGCCAACACCATTAAATTCAACCTTAAAATTTTTAAACAAATCAGGTCTTTTTTAACACTTAATGCAGCCAGAATGTTTCTCCATTCAATGATTTTATCCCATGTTGAATATTGCATCACAAGTTGGTCTCTCACCTCTGTAACCAATTTGAAAATAATTGAATCTCTGTATAAGAAATCTCTTAAAGTTTTTGACAGAAAACCCAATTCATTTCATACATGCAATATTTTAAACAAGCACAATCTTTTAAATTTTGAAAGTTTTATCAACTTTAAGTATGTATGCTTCATCTACAAAGCGCTACATGGACTAGCCCCACCTCCTGTATCGGCCCTATTCAAACCTAGGACTTCAAGTGGCCTGAGGACTAGGGCCTCCTCCAGAGGAGACTGTGAGGTCCCCTTCAGAAAAACTACATTTGGACAGAACACTCTCTCTGTGAGGGCCATGAGCATCTGGAACAGTCTCCCTCTGCACTTACGGGAGAGTCCTACACTGGTCACCTTTAAAACTCAAATCAAACAATGGATTAAGAGAAATCAGTCATGTGACCACTAGACTCTGAACTATTCTCTGTGCTAGTTGTATTATAGTGTTATTTTGTATTTTATTGTATTGTATTTCGTTATGTATTTTCCTGCCTAGGGACTACGGATCAAAACTAGCTTTGTAGCTATAATCCGGCATATTTACATTTGTTTTATACTGATGTTCATTAATGTGCATTGTCCCTATCAAATAAATAAATAAATAAATAAAATTCTAAACACTAACGTGCCATGGCACACTGGCTGAAACACACTGCTTTGTTGTGTTGTTGTTCAGTGTAGATGCTTCTGATCCATTTGAGTTTAGCCTGAGGCTTCTGGGGAGTGGAGGCCAAGATGGCACTTACCATGAAAACCCATTTTCAACCGCAGCAAGGTAAAACAAGCACTTTGTGAAAATGCAAGCCTGCTCCAAGTAATGAGTGATGATTTTATACATTTACAAAAGATTCTACAAACGCCACAATGACCCTCCTGCTCTTTGTTATAATTTAACTTCTGCCAAAAACAGACTTCATAAGATGAAGATGATACTTATCCTGAAATTACCACTTAAAGAAAGGCTATAAGTGCAGTCCATACCAAATGTTATTCTCCTCTTGTAAATAATCATTGTATTTATAAAATACTTGATAAGAGCAACATGTAACACCTGTATTCATCCCAGGAGAAAGATTAAAGTGGGTCCACATGGGGGACTGGAGACAGAAGCTGTCATGTCAAACATTTAGAAAGCCACATTAAATGATGTGATGAATTATGGAGGACTCCTGTGTCACTGCTTGCTCCTGTGATATGTCCTCCCTGACAGCAGCGAACAACTCAATGAGCAGACTGGGCCAATCTGCTGCGTCTGTGGAGAGGAAGCACAAAGCAGAAAGAGCAGCCAAGGACCACAAGTGGACGCCCTCTGTCACATTAATCCAAGCGCCACAATCAAATGATGGATTGTGCAGAAAATGTAAGCTCTCAAGGTCATCTAGCACCGGGTCCTTAGTGCAATTAGTTTAAATTACAGTGAGCCATAACTTTGTATATTGTTTGTGTCAGGGCTACCTGCACTTATATTGACACTGTTTCCAATTTACACTTTGTTGTACATAATTATTGTCACTTTTTTTGTACATATATATCCTGCATGTAACATGTTTGCACATTTCCTCCTTTTGCACAATCTGAGTGTCTCTATCCATGCCAAATGTGACATGTAAATTTCTCCTATGTGAGATAAATAAAGCACATCTTATCTTATCTTAAATGTTTTGTCAGGAAAGGAGAATGATCAATACTCAGCTCTTTGTTTCTAAAAAGATAGTATTGTTTTGTAGTAATGCCATTTATTCATGCAAGGGCTTAGTTTGGGTCAGATCAGGGAGAGGTGAAGCATCAGGTCATATTGTTCCTGTCCATCTCAGACATGTGTCCCGTGTGTGATTGTAATTTCACTGGAACCTATTTTAATATTCATTATGAGCATCTGTCCCGTAGCTCTTTTTCCAGTTTCTTAGACAGTTTACATTTCCACTGATTTTTTTTATATGTTGTTATGTTATGGCGGTGCTGTAGCCACGGCTGCTTTTGCCCCATCCACCCAATAATTTAAAGCTGTTTTTTTTGTTTTTTGTTTGTTTTTGTTTTTAAAGCTGTGGTTCCTACCTTTTTATTCATCTAAATATTAAAGTTTTAGTATTGTACGAGTTTTATGTTTTTAGATAACATGTAATCTTTTGCGTACTAGTAGGAAAAAGCCCTGTGAGTCACCTTTGAGAGCTAATTGCCTGTGGGAGAGTCGTCCTCTCTTTTTAACTTTCCTCTATGGAAAAGATGACACTTTGCTCGATGGCTTTTATCACAGAATTAATTTGTTACTAGTTGGATAGTTTGGTACCCTAGCTTTAATGGGGCAATATTATTATTAAACTTTATTACAGACACGAGGTCCAGAAAAGAAAGACATCACACAAAAACAATAATAAGCATAAAAATAAGCATACGTATTTACCGCAGACTACTGTACCAGTGACGCCACAGACTGATAGCGTGTGGCACTGATTCTGATGTTGGTCAGGCTCATTATGATCACGTTCTGATATTGATTCAGTCGACAAATAAATCTGTTTATTATATGACTTGGATCGTACGTGCGCTCTGATTGGCTGATTTGCGGTCTGATATTTTCCCATCTTGGACCGTTACCATGACAATCGGTCCGCAGCGCGTATCAGATTTGATATCTTTCCTCTGTAAAAAATAAATAATGAGCGATGACTGGGAGCATTCTCAGTGAATTCTATCATCAGGACGAGTTGGAAGAGCCAGAGGAAGTAATAACAGCAAGTAACGACGAAAACACAACTCCTGACAGTCAAGAAGAGATTGACAACTTCGTTACAGACCAGAAAGGTAAAAACAGGATTAAGTAACCAAGTTGGACACGAACATACTTCACAAATATCTAAAAGGCATTGGTAAAGACACAGAAGAGACTGAGAACTTTCAGCGGGCGCCTCAATCATCTGATAAGTTCTTCATGTCACCATTTGACAGTTTGGTTGCATGTGTTTTTAGTTGAAACCGATCAATATTTGCACAAATAAAAAATAGCCATATAACAAAACATTTATTAACCTCGCTTGCTCGGTCTGTACAGAGAAATATCAGACCTCGGCCTTTTTTTGTCTGTACAAAAAGGCAGCGGTCTGATATTTCTCTGTACAGACCGAGCAAGCGAGGTTAATAACTTCCTGTTACTTACGTGGCAATAAAAATGATTCTGATTTTGATTCTGTACAGACCTCGCGCTCTTTTAATAAGCCGTTAACATCAGGTTTCTTAGGACAGCACAAAAAGTCCGAATCCCAGAAGAAACAAATATTGGTAAATCATCAATTAGTATCACTGAGACACTTATTCCCAGTACAAATCAGGCTCTTGGGCATTGGCAAACAGTTTAGTTATATATTGTAGAAAAACATGAGAGAGAACGGCATGTATAATGTCGAGGTCATGATGGAGACTCACAGAAGTTCACACTCATTAAACCGTGGCAGTGGGTCTGCAGAGGAACATCCTGTACTGCTGGAGTGTAGGCAGACGAAAGGGATTTGCTGCACAAGTAATGAGCATTGAAATAAGCTCAGTTACCAAAGACCCTGCTTAGGATGCACTGACGGGTCCCTATAATGTAGCACTCCAGCTTTTTGTCAAGTCAAGAAGCAACGAAGTGACTCACTATATGCAATTAGTATCAGGCCCTTCAGATTTATAAGGTCCTGGCTGATGTTTTAGTGAGTGATTGAGTTATTCTGATAAGATAAGATTGCTTTATTTATCTCACAGAGGAGAAATTTACATGTCACATTTGGCCTGGATAGAGACACTCAGATTGTGCAAAGGGAGGAAATGTGCAAAGGGAGGAAATGTGCAAAGGGAGGAAATGTGTTATTGTCTTTTAATGCATTCATTCTTCAACTATGATCGAAGAATTATGATTGATTATAAATATGCAGTTTGTTCTGACTTGTTTGGGTTCACTGCTTTGTTGTATTTATTGGGTGTATGGCGAGTTTGTACTGATGTGGTTGATACTGTGCTGTTGCAACCATGTTTTCACTTAGTAATGGTCTGGTTAAGAAATTAATTCCTTTAGAGCACCTTGACTAATTGTTTTGCCGTTGTAAAAAGATTGTAATTACAGCATAAATGTGAGTGCTATTATGTGCATATTTAAGTCTCTAATGTTTATTTAAATATATAACATGTTACTATTATACAGATGGTTGGGTTAGGGTTTTTTACACACAAACTCATTTTCACAAAATTAGTTGCAAAATATAATCCATCTTGTAACATATGGCATAGAGTCTCTTGGGTAAACTAGTGTTTCCAAATCTCCAGTTCCAATTAGTCTTGTCATGATGATAACATTTTCAAACACTATTTTGAATGCCACTGTGATCATGAAAAAGGATGTTTCAGTCAATGAGCTATTGTTGTGGGGTTTTAACAGAAAAATATACATGATATATTACTACAAGGTTGTATTATACGTGTGACTATAGCCACAATATTGTAAAACTGCTGAGGATAGCTCTAATTTGTTTTGTTTATGGTTTTGGTCAACCCAATACAACAAATGCATACATAGTTTATGTACAAGTTTAAAAGCACTGCTGTACTCGTCTGTAGCATGAGATGTACTACTTGCTCCAGACAGCAGAGGCATTAGTGGGGCAAAGTGTTCAGCAGGGACAGAGGCTGCTTTCAAAATCCTAAATAATACCTCCTTCCGGACTCTTCCTTTTTATCTTTACCTGCACCAATTATACAAACATGATAATAAAAACATCTTAAAAATGTGTAGTTTGACTAAAACTGAAGTCATTACGTCTTGTAAAGGTAAATTTGAATGCACAAGGAATGACACGTCTTTTTTGGATCCAGCTCTTGCGTCGCGCGTCATCAGTGACTGACGCAGACCATGTGCACTTTGTTTCTGGTAGCACCGCAGAGCTACGACGTTGTTACTGCTGGTGCTGCAGGTTAAACTAGCTGCAAAATAATCGTTATATTTGTATTTATGGAAAGGGTTTGTATGGATGTCAATACTAATAGTGAATCTTAGCAGTTAGCTTAGCATTATATTAGCCTACAGAACGGGGATGTTTACTTTTTGGAGATGCTGGATCATTCCTGCCATCAAGCTATACTTATTGGGTTTAAAAGTTCTTCTTGGTCAACTTTTCAGCAAAAAATTCAAGCTATCAGGTCAGTGTTGTTACTAAAATAACACATTGTAATTTGCAATGTTTGAGTAGCATCAAGACTTGGAATTGGCATGTTCCTCTGTATATCTGTACAGCTATACAAGTTTAATACTGTCTTTAATTACATAGACAATAATTACTGTACATGAATAAGTTGGTGTAATTAAGATTTCTACAATGTCTAAGTTAAAGCTTTGGACAATGAAACTCACACTCACTGAAGCATAACAATGACAATAATGTGATCTGGTTTAATTTCTCATCCTTAATAATTCCTTTTGTGAAAACTGCATTAATAACATGGATATAATCACACGGTGGCTGAGTTGTTAACACTCTCGCTTCTCAGAAATAATTAGGTCCTGGGTTCGAATCCCTATCGGCACAGGCCCTTTCTGAGTGGAGTTTGCATGTTCTCCCCGTGTATGCGTAGGTTTCCCCCGGGTGCTCCGGCTCTCCTACCACTAAAAACATGCACAATAGTTATGAATGTAATGAGAGAGTGGATGGATGGTGTTGGGTGGAGGCTTTGATGGACCAGTGCGCCTCCGTCATCACCGTGTGTGGAGAAAATGAAACAATAATATCTGAACTCTAAACAAAGCAAAGCGCTTTGGGTGACCTGGGTCTGTAAAACTGCGCTCTTCAAATAAAGATTATTACTCATTATTACTTTTAAATGCTTTAAAGCCAGATAGATGAAACTCTCATATAACAAGTTTAATAATTTAGTTATTAATTACTATTTCAGTGATTTATTTTCTCCTAACTAGCTGTTTTTTTCCTTGCCTGACCAACAAGGCATTGTTTAGTGGACCATACATGTATGTGGTTGTCTGTCCAGCCCTACATTACATTAGGTTAATGCTCTGAAAATAGCTGCATTTTTCACTCGATGTGTTAAATCATTAGGCAGTGTCGTTATCAGATGACATTGTCCTCATATCTCTGTGTCCTCTTCTGTCCCAGAGATGCCCAGACAGGACGGGAAGGTTGCCATAGTGACGGGAGGCGGAAGAGGCATTGGTTTTGAGGTGGCGCTGCACTTGTCCACACTCGGGGCTCATGTCATCATTGGTACAGTATAAATGAAACTTTCGAAGAATGAATGTTGATAATAAATGCAACAAACCCAACAAGTTCTTTGAATAGGATTTCTGCATAGAGTGTGTATTCTTTTTACTTGCCTCATAAAGTCATATAGAAAAAGTAACGCATTTAATGGTAACACAATTAGATTCTTAAAACAATCATAGTCTTAAAAAAAGAGTTGTTGACACACTCTAGCTCCCTATCCTCTTTGCAGCCTCTATTCTTAGGACATGCTCACACATTTAAATTCCAGAATAATTTAATGTATCAGTCTATCAGCCTTTATTGATAAAAGCCATAACAATTTGCTTTTGAAATACACTGAAGAAAGATAGTGTTGTTGTGATGTTGCCATTAGTGCTCTGCCCCAGGTTCTTTACTCTTAGGTTATTACTATGAAATAATGTATCATCCTCTCAAGCGTGAATACAGAAAACACGTATAGGTTTGTGGTTATTTTGAGACAGTTATTAAATGTTAACAATCACATTTCTATTACATAAGTGGCTGTAGTTAGCAGCTCTCGCACAGTCATACTAATGCATGTGTTGCTGCAATGCGGAGTCATCCTGATTCACCTTGACAGCAACACCATTTCTTTTAAAGTTTTAAACAACCTCAAGGTGAAGTGAACGATTACGGCAAAATGAATCTCGTGAGAAAGTGAAGACATTGAAATGATATATATATATATTTGTCAGAAGAGATTACATTCCTTCAAGGTTTTACTTCTGATTCCAAAAACACTTCTGAGGTTTGTGGCTGGTGTCAAAATTACATCAAAAATCTGTCACGATTAAATTTGATGGGGAGTTTTTTCCATCACCTTCACGGCTCATCTCTTCCTCAGAGCAACGCTAACGGGGTGAAGGTTTATTACAGGAAGATGGCAAGACAACATGTTTTTGTCAAACCTGCATGAATATTTAATCCGCTGCAACTTTCTTACACAGTTTCTTTTACTTTGTGATGTGGAGGTGCCATAACAGCAGGGCTTTGTCTCTAGTCTTCAGGAACAATTGTTTTTCCACTGGAGATTGTTCTGGACTGTGATTGGCTTTGTTTTTTACAGCATGGGCTCAGTTCCTGGTCATACGGTCAGTTAATTGTGAGATAAGATATTGCTATTGGCTCAATATAGAAAATTGAAGTGATAACCGAGTTAAGCTTTTGGCTCTAAATGACAGCAGTTTTGTGTTAAATGTTTATAGCACTATCACACTATATCAGGGATTAAAGAGTTCCGTCTAGGTGACGGATTTCCGTCAAATGAAATTGGTCTGGAAAAAAAAAAAATATATATATATATAATGATAATAATACACACAATGAAATGATTGATTATAAAAATAATATATAGTAATACATATACGTGTGAATCTGTTATATATATATATATATCGATGTATAATAATAATTTGAATATAATTGTATTTATATGTATATAGAAATAATAAGTAATATAATGACGAGTGGGCCTTGAACGTGCCGTGGCCACATGAGCGCTCCACAAATGAATCAAGGCAATGGGACGTAGCTGAGCTCACGCGCAAATGAAGACGCGATGAAGTTAGCATTGGTAACACGGAGGTGAAAGTTTCTGGAAACTGCACGGAGCTTTTGAAAAGGAGAAGAGGAGGAAAATTGAATCTCGAACGGAGCGATAACAGCAGCAGATCCGCGGACCGGTAAGCTGGGCGCGTAATAGACGAAAGGTAATTAACGTTTACCAAACGCAATGCTATTTTACTTAACGGAATGTACAAAACGGACTTTGCTGCAACTGGGAATGGGTCACAAACATGTCTTGGTGAGCTTTTGATATTGTCTTGTTTGCGATCTTCTTGCAAAACTCAGCGTGATGTAAAAGAGCCAATCAATGAGTCATGGTGCGAAAAGATGAAAGTGGCCGGTGCTTGTGCGTACTTTGCCATAAAAAATTGCATGTATGGGAGCAGGGCTGGACTGGCCATCGGGCGTACCGGGCAATGCCAGAAGGGCCGATGCCCATATTTGGGCCGGTCTGTTTGCCTCATACAAAAAAGATGTTTGTGAAAAGTGTAAATCCGTTGAGAACTGTTCGAGGGGGCGCGCGTGTCCGCGGGGCACCTGCTGTATGTACTCGAACGGGATTCTACCACCTCAGCGGCCGCAGTGTTCCGGCATCCAGCGGCTCTGAGCTGGACGCGGGAACCGCTCAATGGGAGCCGCTCACAACACAACACGGTGAGCGCGTAGCCGCAACGTGACCATGTACCCAAGACCATAAACGTGCACAGGACCATGCGTGTCTTTGCGTAATTTGTGCACCCAATAAATACACCGCTGCAGGAAACAGTCCGCGTCTCCCCTCTCCTCTCGAAGTGCGACTAAATTAAAGCTCGGGTGCCTAAATTTTCCATTGCATTAAAAGTTCATGTTTGAGCCCAAAAGTAAAATGTTGTGAAAAAATTAAACAAATTTAGAGCCAGCCAATGGCTGACATTATGCATTTCAGACTTTTTTGACCAATTCTCATCCCTGTAACAAACAACAGTGTTGTCTGCGGCCACCTCCCTCACTCTGAGACATGTTTATTACTCTCTTGTAATGTAGACTATTGCCCTTTATTTTTTTGTTGAAACTGTAGACATCCTGATCCTCTACAGTATTTGCTTCCACATACTGTATAAACCAGGGGTCGGCAACCTTTAGTGCTCCTCCAGTGGCTCCTGGAGCCTTTTCAAAAATGTCTGAAAATGGAGTGGGAGGGCTATATTTTATTTCTAGTTTGAATGTGGTTTCTGTAGGAGGAAAAACATTCCTAACGTATTTCAATGCTGTAAAAATGTGTATAAGTAATATTCAATTTCAACATTTCTGTCAACGTAGTGAGTCATATCCTGTGGCGCGGCCCCCAGGCGGCCGCTGCTGTAAACAAACCGGCGTGTGCGCACGGATCCCAAAGATAAAAAGAGAACGAGTCGATAATAAGACTGGACTAAGAACAAGACTGAACATTTGCTTTTAGTCAATGAGGAAGGACTGCTTCATGTTTGCGATGTAATAGGAAGTTTTGTTGCAACACGAGGAACAATGAAGCACTAAATACCGTTCACAGGGATTACGTGAAGGATTCTTTCATACAAAATCCGGAGCACCTTTTTCAGACTTCAAAAACCTCCGCAAAGACTGTGAAAGAAAAGGCCATTAAGGACATTCAGCTCCAGCAAACTTCAGCCTGTGACGTAATCGATATGAGCGGACAGTGCAGGTGTGTGACCTTTGAGCCAAAAAGCAGATTTATTTACTGTATTTCTACAGTTGCATGAAGGCAAAAAAATGGAAGTCAAAGTTAAAGCAGAGTCATCGCGTGGTGCGTCATTCTCTCCAGGACACGCTGCAGTGAAAATACACATTTGACAATCATGAATGCTTATTATGTATTTGTAGCCTTTACTTGGTCATTTAGATAATAGGCTAATGTAGCTAATGTAGCTACATTGTGTAACCTTCATATAAGCTTTATACAAGGCTGTTATTTTTTTGCGGCTCCAGACAGATGTTTTTAGTATTTTTTGTCAAATATGGCTCTTTGAACCTTTTGAGTTGCCGATCCCTGGTATAAACAAACTGTAAAAAACGTGACAAAAACATGCCTGGGCCGGTAAGAAGGAAAAAATGCCCGGGCCGTTTTTTTGTCCCAGTCCAGCCCTGTATGGGAGTAATGAGAAAAAAGTTTTTCATACGCCACCAGCTCAAAACTGCGCACAAGGCAGCTGTTTGTGCACTTTCCCACACACACCCATCTTTACCTGGTGCATCAGCAACAACTGACACTAGGTTTGCTCTGGCGGACCGTGTCTGTGGCTTTATCGCAGAAAATAACGTTCAGAATATCACTACCGCTGGTACATTTATTTAAATCATTTGCAGTTGATCGAAGTGCACTGTGCACTCAAACTTGATAGGGAAACCTTTTTCTTAAATATTGACGTGTCCACAAACAAATGTGGACAGAATTTTATCGTCCTTTTGCAATATTTTGACGAGGACAGAGCCAAAGTGTTGACGCTCCATATCGCCTCAAGTAAAGCTACTCTCACTAATATTCTGTCAAAAAGTTGACTCGTTGCTTGATCCACTTATATTTCATATCAAAATACACTGTATATCTTTGAAGAATTCATTTGAGCTGTATTCAATATACAATCTATTATACAATAATATATTGTAATAAAAAATATAACTTGGTCCTGCATATTACTGTGATTTACATGTGATAAATTTCCATGCAAAAATTTTCAGTCAAATCTTTTTTTTTTGCTTTAACCCCTGCACTATATCACAGTTTGTTTATTATTTTCCCAGTTTGTTCTCAGTGCAGATTTAATAGTAACGCAATTATACAAATAGGGATTCTCATCTTTAGTCATTTAATCTGAGTACTTGTCCATTGAAATGTGAAGTGTGCTACTAGAGCCAGGTCTATTGCCACCAGGGTCTGACCTCCTCCTTCTGCATCCATGGGACACATCCAAGATCAGTAGCACTAAGCCCACTGTAAAACCTGTGTGAATTTGTGCGCAGGCTCTTCCTTTGCTGCAGTCCTCCCAGACTGATGTGTTACAGAGCAGGGCACAGACACGTGTGATACTTTAGATAACTGCACCTCAAATGATTTAAATAACGTCTGCTTTTGTGAGGACAACCTCAAATCTTGGAGACAATTCTTTGTGTTTGCAAACATATCTCAGGCAGGCATGGAAAGGCATCAGGGCAATCACGGCCAGCGCACTATAAACCTGTGATATAAACCACCATCTTCCCCAGATAAATCCCCCCCTCCCCGCCTTGACTCAGACAGGGAATATATCCTAACCCCCTTCCACAAAAATTCTGTCCTTGGCACACATGAGGTGAGATCTATGTTCTGCAGCATCAACACCAGGAAGGCACCTGGACCAGATGGAGCGCCAGGACGGGTGCTCAAAGACTGCAGCAGA